TCCTTCCTTCCTTCCTTCCTTCCTTCCTTCCTTCCTTCCTTCCTTCCCTTAGCAATAGCACTTAGACTTATATACTGCTTCACCATGCTTTCCAGCCCTCTCTAAGCGATTTACAGAGTCAGCCTCTTGCCCCCAATGATCTGGGTCCTCATTTTACCCACCTCAGAAAGATGGAAGGATGAGTCAACCTTGAGCCAGTGAGGATCAAACTTCCTGGCAATACAGCACTTTAACCACTGCACCAACACAGCTTGATTGCTTTCCTTCCTTCCTTCCTTCCTTCCTTCCTTCCTTCCTTCCTTCCTTCCCTCCCTCCCTCCCTCCCTCCCTCCCTCCCTTCGCAATAGCACTTGGACTTATATACTGCTTCACAGTGCTTTGCAGCCCTCTCTAAGTGGTTTACAGAGTCAGCCTATTGTCCCCCCAACAATTTGGGTCCTCATTTTTACCCACCTTGGAAAGATGGAAGGCTGAGTCAACCTTAAGCCAGTGAGAATCGAACCGCTGGCAGGCAGCAGAGCTAGCCTGCAATACTGCATTCTAACCGCGGCGCCCCCATGGCTCCTGCCAAAGTTGTTAAATGAATCACTGCAGTTAATAACATGGTTGTTATGTGAATCAGGGCTTCCCCGTTGACTTGGCTTGTCAGAAGATTGCCAAAGGGGATCCACCTAATCCTGGGACACGGCAACCGTTATAAATATGAGTTGGTTGGCAAGGGTCTGAATTCTGATCCTGTGATCCTGGGGATGCTGCAAGGATCATAAGTGTGAAAAACAATCACAAGTCTCTCTCTTTTTTTAGTGCTGTTGTAGCTTGGAACAGTCACTAAATGAACTAGTTGAAGACTATCGGGGTGGGCTTCAAAATTTTTAGCAATGGTTCTTTGCCCGGTTGCTGGGTGGGCGTGGCCATGGTGGGAGTGGCCTAGTCGACCTCCTGCACCACGGTGATGGGGGGGTTGTCCTCCCTGAGGTCCAGAGGCTTTTCTCGAGCCTCCAGGATGCGAAAAGGGCCTCCCTGGGCTCCAGAGGCAAGAAACGGGTCCATTTTCAGCCTTCCAGAGCCTCCGGGAGGCCTATTTTTCACCCTCCCCGAGCCTTCGTGCAGGCCCTGTACTTACCTGGGATCCAAAACAGGCCACGTAGGGACTCCTGGGAGCAGGGTGGGGTGGGCAGGGCCAGCCAGGGGTGGGATTTGCCAGTTCACAGAACAAGCCAGAAAATTAGCTATCGGTTCACCTGAACCGAGGCAAACCGGTAGCAGGCCCACCCCTGTCTGTACCTCAGAGAGGCCTGGTAGCCTAAGTATTTGGGAAAGAAATCTGGAATGGACAGAAAACTTCTTGTATTTGCAAAAGCTGAACTTGAAAAATGGTGACCAACCCCAGAGTTCTCCTTAAAGCATCTTCAGAAAAAAGGGTGATAATTTTAAACCTGCTCCAGAAAATAGCTTACATGGATATTCTCAGAATTCTCAACTCCAGCAACCATTGCTGTGGACAAAGGAGAATTTTCACTGCTTCTCAGTGTTGACAACTTTAAGATAACTGAACTTCAGATCCCAGAATTCCCAAGATAGTTGAAAGTCCACCCAAATTAAAGTTGTCAGAGTTAAAAACAAAACACCGGTTAAAGAATTTAACTTTATTGGCATTAGCACTCCAATTTTTCTACTCATTTTTCCCTGCGGGTTAGGTAGGGAAGGGTAGTTTTACCTTGGTTGAGTTAAAGAGTGCACAGTGCAATTCTCTGAAAGAAATAGTTAAAGTGATTATTGGAGGTAAAAAAAAAAATAAGGGCTGTGTATCTAGATCCAGAGCAATGATGGTCTCAGAAGTCTATCAATGGCCAGAACAAGGTATGACTATAGACCAGGGGTCTTCAACCTTGGCAACTTTAAGACTTGTGGACTTCAACTCCCAGAATTTATTCTGAGAGTTGAAAACCACAGGTCTTAAAGTTGTCAAGGTCTAGACCAGATAATTTCACATTGCAGATAAAGCGGGATAGATCTTTTGTTCTATCCATCCTCCACTTCTTGAAAATAGTGAAGTGCAAACAAAGAATACAGCAGGTCAAACTCAAGGAAGTGTAGCTACTGAATTGAAGTTCTGACTCTCAGTTTTATTTTTGCTGATGATAAACCATCACTACATCTGTGTTACAGCCAAGAAAACTGTTGGGTGTTCAGAAAGTCGGGAACAGTCAAGCTTGATTTGGAAAAGATGTCATTTTTCACTTCCAAATAAGCAAAGGGAGAACTCCACCCATATGATGGACTGTTGAGGTTTTTTTTTTTTTTAACTTTTATTTCAGAATCTGGCTGTAGGCTCAAAAGCAGTAGGATCTCTACAACTGACCTACATCTCTAAGGTAAGACTAAAATAGAGTTTTGCCCCACCCCTAAGAACTTATTGTTGGTCCTGATGATTTCCCTGCATTTCTGGTCCTCATAATTCTTGTTCTTGATTTTTTTAAAGAGTTCCACCTCTTTGTCTCATAATCACACCAACATGTAACTTAATAAGGAGAAACCTTGGCCAGGAGCAATAGGTGACATGTCTCATGAGCAGAGGTCATTTCATTTCTGACATGGAACTGAGTAAGCATTAAGCAGCAATAGGAAAAGTGCATGTGTTTCTTAATAAGATCTATTTGTCAGAAAAGGGGATTATTGGTTAACATCCTTATCCATCCAATTGATGAACAAGCTCAACCTGACTACCTCAGGTTGAGGTTTGTGATGACCCAGGGCAAGGCACGGAGGCAACATAGTCAGCCGATAGTTCCTCTTTGTTGCTCCAACTTTCCCCCAAACGCTCCCATTTTTATGGCAAGTCCCAGAGCAAAATACTCACACACATGCACTTCTAGTAGCCTCTGGCTGTGAGTCGTCCAGCCCGACAGCTTCAAGGCAAGACATCCAGCGAGGCAAGGGAACAAGGTAATGAGTTCCATGAAGCCAAGGAACTAGGCAAGACGTCCAGTGAACTCCAGACGTCGGCAACGGCACACAAAACCCCACTAATTCAGTGCTTGTTCCTGACAAGTGCCCTCCCCATAATGTCTCCTTAAGTCTCAGTACCCAGGTGCGCCTTGTGAAGAGGGTCAGGATACCCTTCTCCTGAGTTGTCGGGTCAGCCTGTACTGTTCCTGCCTCCCCTCCTCTCTCTTCGTGCTCGGGGAGCATGAGGGAGTGGTCCTTGCTTGTCACCTGAGCTCCTTCGCTCCACATCTCCACTGCCTGACCTCTCTTCCCTACTCTCTCGGTTATCCTGCCCCTGTTCCTCCCTGCTGGCAAGCCGTCCCAGGCCCAAGGGACCCGGGGCTGCTTCCTCAATCTCTGTCAGCCTCAGCTCTGGCTCATCCTCCTTCACAGACTCAAGGTTTCGACCGGGCATGACAAGGTTCTTCATCAGCTGGATGGCTAAAGATCAGCCTATGGTAGTGAAGCTAAAAAAATAAATGGCCAGCATGCACGAATTTGTTGGAACTGATTTTTGTGATTTTATATCCTGCCACAAATTCTGTAGAGGTGATAAAAAGAGTGAACAAATTTATTTATTTATTTGGTTTGTCAATTGCTTACAAGATAATAGGAATAAGTAAAAACATAGTTATGAATACATGGATACATATATGAAAAAATAAAATAAAAGAAAAGAAACAATAGGACAGGGACGGTAGGCACGTTGGTGCGCTTATGCACCCAAATAAGTTGAGGATAAGAAGAATTGGAGGAGAAAGAAGTCCTAGGTCACTGGACCTGTTCTTTGGGCTGAGTTAATTATCTCACCAGCTTTCTCACCTCATTGCTCTGTAACTGGCTTCAGTTATAGTCTGAATTCTTTCTTACATCAGTGGCAGTAGGTTTGGCCATCCTGTCTAGGTGCAACAGGACTGGAATGTTGATGTTGTCAGGAGAGAGAATGTTGTGCTCTCAAATTCACAAAGAGTCTGTCTCTGTCAGGCAGGACCACTTGTTAAGTTCCAGTTAAGCTGATTTATTGCTCGTGCCTACACACAAGAATCTGGTTAACTAATAGTCAGCACTACATTGGAGCTAGATAAAGAGTTAACAGAATTCTAGAGAGGTTGGACTGTGGGAATCTAATGACTCCAGGCTAATTCCTCTCTTGACTCCACCCCTTTGCCTTTCCTTCTGCTATAGTCTCCTTTCTAAAACCAAGAATCAGACAACTCAGGCAAATCAAATCAAGTGTTTGTTGTCAATGCACAACATGCGTACAATGAAATCATCATCAGCCCATTTCCATTTGCTTTCTTTTCAGGTCAGCGTGGCTACCCCCAAACAAAAGCCGAAAACACCATTCTGTTTTGGTAAGCCTTAACTTGGGGGAGCGCTGCTGCCTTTCACTGGACAGGCACATTTACCTTTTGGTCCCCCTATTGAAGAACTGGCTTTGGGGAAGATTTTTCAAGGGTGAAAGGGATGATTGGAGCTAAAGAGCTGCTTTTTTGTCCTGTAGGCCTCTCCAACAGGCAAATGTGGTAGAGTTTGGGGAGCTTAGCTTTAAGGGGTGCTAATCTGTATGAGTGCCTCTAGCCTACAGTAATGTGTTTTCACCTGATGCCCCCTCTCCCCAATAAAATGATCAGATCTGAAATGTTTGGTCCTGCTTGCTCTGCTCTTGGAGAGCTGCAGATGGGATGCTTTGTTGCTGTGTGTAGGAGCACGGACCTTGAGTTATCCATCTTTAATGTAAGTCATTAAAGGGAGGGTGAAGATTGGAGAACACCTTGGTGGCACCCTTGAGAGCAGAACTTTGGCTTCAGCGGGCAAAGATGTGGTGCAAAGCTCACAAGTACTTCCTGGGAGGAGACATCCAACCCAAAACACATTTTGCTCTTCAAATCCAGAGCACCGCATGGTCTTAGCATCAGGGGTGGGATTCTACCGGTTTGGCCTGATTCAGGAGAACTGGTAGCTCCGAAGATCAGTTGTGAGCGAACCAGTTCACTCCAATGATCAGCTATTGGGCCTGCCCACCTGCCCCAGCTCTAGTCTGTGCTTTATTTCTGGGTTTTCCAGTTCAGCTGATTCACACGGCACAGTGGATTGCCGCGGATCAGCTGTTTTACACACAGGGCTTGCAGCAGAAGGTGAGTTGCAAATGTGCATGTGTGTGAAGCACGTGTTTGGCGCGTATGCGCGCGCTCACCAAACCAGTTGTTACACCAGTTGAATTCCTTCGCTGCTTAACATATAGGTGGAAAGTGGACAAGTGAATTCACTTCTTACTAAGGAAGCAACATCGGTGATGTTGGTGGCTTTTCAGCTGCACCAACTTGGGAATTAAACGGAGATCTGGGCACTCTTGGAGCAGAGAGTTCTTTGCAAGGAAAGAGTAAAAAAGCTGTCTTCAAGTTGAGTTCAATTCCTGGGGGCCTTAGGGGAGACATCTTTACAGGTTTTCTTTTAAGAGTAATGAGGAAGTGGGTTACCATCTCCTTTTAAGATGATGACTTGCATAACACTGCAATCTAACTTGGTGCGTGGGATTTCCCTGTGGCTTCCTACCCAAGTGGTAAACTGGGTGACCCTACTCAGGTCAGTAAGTCGTTGCCACCTAGCTGGGCTCAAAAAGGAAGGCTTACGGATATCATTTTGACCTTATGGTAGACCTGTGGTAGGTCTCTTCCAAACGAGGAACACTGGGTCTTGATCCTTGTGGCATAACGTAGAGGTGGATTTCCACAAGCTTAGCCTAGCTTTGCACAGGAAGAAGAAATTAAAGCCCAAGAAGAAAGAAGTGTTTCGTCAGAGCCTCAAGGCCTCCTGTTCTTCTATGTTAAGGAGAAGTGGCTGAGATGGATTAGACAGTAGGATTGAAGTAAACATATCCAGACAGGAAGTCCTGGGGAATTAGGGAGGAAGTGACAGAACCATGCGAGATAGAACTGGTTGACTGCCTTTGTCCTTCCCAGACAGTATATTATTTTATTACTACGATTTCTTTCTTTTTTCACCTCTTGAAGCTTTGAATAATATATTTATTTATCTATATATATATATATATATAAAAGTGAAATACCACTCACGCATCATCACAAAATATCCAGAACAGTAAAGCCTACAAACTTGAAATTTGGCACGTATGTTCCTTTTGGTGTCTAGGTGCTCACTAAGAAAGGGTTTTTTGAAATGACCATCAGAGCATTAGTATTTCCTATATTATTATTATTAACACACTCTGATGCTAAGGTATTCTACTCCCCCTCCCCACCTGAAAATAAATCTGTTCCAAATGCAAAACACAAGGAGAGGAGAAATACTCTTTCACTTTCCAAACAGCCCTCAACTCTCTCACACACTGATAGGATGCTAGCCAGATAAATACTGATGGTTGCTGGTAGGCAGAGGCAGAATTTTTCCCCCCTTATTTTTCTCCCCAAAAACTAAGCCCCACCACATAATTTCATAGCAAAACACAGGTATCCAGCTAGTTTATTTATAAGATGTATAGGCTTCCCATCTTACTTCAAGACAACTCTGGGCAGCTTACAATCGTTAAAAAAAAATCAAAATGATATAAACTAACAACATAAGTGAATACAAAATCCAAAACAAGACGGCCCAATTAAAAGATGGCGAGGATGGTAGGGAGGTGGAATCTTTTGCCAATCGATCAACCACTTCCACTGTAATACTCCCCCATTGGAGCCAGAAGCTAACTGGCAGAACCCATTATTACATACCCACTTGTATGGAAATAACAACAAACCTGAGCTGGAAGGAGACCTCTGATCTGGAAGTCGGCCTGTTAGAGAAAATTGCCGTGCTTTTCAGAAGCACAATCCAAACTATGTTGAAATATAAAGAGGTGTTCCATCCCCACCTTCCAAGAAAGACTGAGTAACGTCTCCACTTACTCAGGAGGCGCAGATGGGATGGCTAGAAATAGTGGGGAGGCAGACAAGTGGTAGAACAGAATGGTTGAGGAGTAAACCTTAATCGTGTTTTGTTTTGTCGAGGCGAGGAAAAACATGGCTTGTTTTCAGACTCTCTGGAATAAGCGCCCAGTTCTAATAGCAACAACCATATCTAAACGAGATTGTACTTGGACAGAAATAATGCCCTTTGGAACTATGGAAGTCCCTTTGGAAAGTTGGCCCGCCAATCCAAGGAAAAGTAGAGCTTGCTAAATAATAATAAATGGGGGTCTATCAAGGTTACACTTTTCTGCTCAGAGATCACCCCATTCTGCGGTTTTGGGTTCACCTCCCTTTCCTTTATTGGACAACCATTCAGTAGCACAACTAGTAGAAAAAACGTTTTCTCAATTGATGTGCTGCCACCACCTGTTTTAAATTGGAATAATCTTTCTCCTTAATTCTAGGGACAGGCGAAGCATGGAAAACCTCTTCCGTCTTTCCCTGCAACTGCATGAAAAATAGTTTTATGCAAGGTCTGGTGGCTGAGCAATGAGCGGAATGAAGGGGATAAGGGCTGTTCCTAAATGAGAAGGTCAATGAGCATATAGAATATTTAATTTTATTAATGTGAAGGTCCTCCACCATATCCCACCATATGTTTTGCAGGGAAAAGTTAATGAAAAAGTCAACCTGGCGTGTTCAGTGGAAATATAAACCGAATGCCCCCGGTTTATCGTTTTCTCAGGCATAAAATAATCACGCTCACAGGCATTTCCTCCAGTCAAGAATCAGCCAAGATCCTTGCTCTTAGTTTGAGGCATACAATTGGGAACTGCATCTCAAAAGGCTCGGCTGCAGCCCTAAAGATACTCCTGAAGTTATTAAATTGTCTTTATATATATATATATATATGCCAACAGACAAGTATTAAATGCACAATTCATTTGTTGCACAATAGCTCTCTCCTTTCCTCTGAAGAACTGTGCTGTTGAATCTCAGATGCAAAATTTGGGAAAGCTCTCAGGATCACAAAAAAAAGGGGCCTTTGAACGCATCCTCTGGATTTCCTGGGGTGGCGGACCATGCAGTGGGAGCTTCTTGGAGAATTTGAAACTGGTTCACTGAGTAGGGAACGAGGAGTGGAAAATCTCAAGAAGAATATGGCTCCTTCTAGAAGCTGGGAAGAGGCTACTCAGGACAGCCATGTTCCTTCTTTGAAGTGATGCACAGCTCTTGACCATGATCTTTGTACCTGCAGTTATCAACGCCTTGTCTCAGCGCTATGTCTTGCAAGCAAACGACCAGAAAGATCTGCAAGACTGGGTGGAAGCCCTGAACACCGCCAGCAAGATTACGGTAGGTCTTCTCTCTTCACATCAGTTGGGCTTCCCAAGCCATCTTCCACTAAAGATCCTCAAGGGAAGAGAGAGAGAGAGAGAGAGATCAGGTCATTTCATCTGGATGAAGGTTGTTCTCTTACTGCTGTTCTCTCCTTGTGTATTATTTTCAGGAATGGGATCAGCTTTGTGCCAGGAATGGGGATGCGGGTGAAATTAAGGAGGAATGTGGAGTATAAATTGCAAAAGAGGCTTAGATGATTAGCTCAATCAAGGCATGAAAGCTAACTGTAACCCTAATTTAGAGTCCAGTCATGGTTGAAGCTTCCATGTGGAGAAACCACTCCTTAGAACTGTCCATGTTGTCCCTTCCCATTCTACCGGTTAGGACCGGTTCGAGTGAACCGGTAGTGCCGGTGATCGTTTGGCCCCCACCCACGCCCCTGCCCTAGTCCTTTATTTCCGTGTTTTGCGGCTGAGCTGATTCTTGTGGCACAGCCGATTGCCGTGCCTCAGCTGTTTTACTCACCGGGGCTGCAGTAGAAGGTAAGTATTAAGAGCTGAAAATGGGTGGTTTTGAAACACTGTGCGTGCAAAGCGCGCGCTCACGGAATCGGTTGTTTATACCAGTTGAATCCCACCCCTGTGTTGTGGTTTGCCGGCAGCCTGTGCAGAGGGCAGCGGAATTGGATAGTGGGGAAGAAAGGGGATTAGTCTGGGAGTCTGGAGAGGACTCGGATGAGGGTCCTGCATCTGGTGCAGGGATGGGGCCGGGACCATCTGGGAGTGGGGTGCTGCCTTCAGAGCCTTTGGAGTCTGGGACCAGCGAGGCAGAGGAACAAGGGGAGCCTGTTCCCAGTGTGTGTGCGCACAGAACTGCCAGAAGGCAAGAGCAGCTAAGACAAAAGGGGCAACTCGGGAGTAAGGCTTGGAGGTGATTGCCCCTCCCATAAGGTATAAAGGACAGGCAAAGATGACGAAACCTTTGCAGGAAGCAAAGTTGTTCATTCGGTTCAGATTCGTTCTTGAAGCTCTTTGTACTTTGGTTGGTTTTCTTTCTAGTTCATTTGATACTTCTGTTATTTGCAGCACTTCACAGGAAAGCCTCTGCATAGGTGATTCAATTCCCTTGGAGTTGTTGGAGAGAAGTAGGGTTTAAAATTATTCCACTGGAGCACGGAAGGAACTGGCTGAAATAATAGCATTTTCTTCCAGATGAGAACACCCCATCAAGCAACCACATTCACCACATCATTCTTAGTTTCTTGGTACAGATACTGTCTACTGGCCCACATTGATGTATCTGGCAACTTGGCATTTGCTAACCCCCCACAGTTACAAACAAGGACTTCCCAATGAAACTTGAATTGGGCAATCATCCTTCCTTGTTGTGGGGCTCAGTGGTTAAGATGCTGGGCTTGTCAGCTGGAAAGCCAGCAACCCAGGTTCAAGACCCAAGCTCCCTGCAATGGGGTGAGCTCCCGTCCTCGCCCCAGCTTCTGCCAACCTAGCAGTTCAAAAGCATGCAAATGCGAGTAGATAAATAGGTACCACTTCGGTGGGAAAATTACACTAGCCAGATGACTGCGGAAATATCTTCGGACAGCACTGTCTTAATAGCCTTGAAATGGAGATGAATTCCGCTTCCTATATTTGGCAAAGACTAGAGGAGTAAATATGCAAATCCTTTACCGTTACCTTTTTACCTGCCTTGTTAGCCAGATTGTTTCTTACCACTTCAGAATTCAAAACTATAAAATGCACGCACACTGTCTATTTTTTTTCTTATTTTATTGAAATATAAATCAGGAGTGGGATTACACCCCCTCCCTAGCGTTCCACTCAAAGACTAAGAGTGGTCTGATCTAAAATTACACAGCATACTCCTAAGCTTTGGGATAGCCTCTGCTCACTCTCTCACTATAAAAAAGATGTTGAGGTTCTAGAAAGAGTGCAGAGAAGTGCAACCAAGATGGTTCGGGGACTCGAGGCTAAAACCTACAATGAACGGATGCAGAAACTGGGCCTGGCTAGTCTAGTGAAGAGAAGGACCAAGGAAGATATGATAGCAGTCTTCCAATATTTGAGGGGCTGCCACAGAGAGGAAGGGGTCAAGCTATTTTCTAAAGCACCTGTAGGCCAGACAAGGAATAATGCATGGAAACTGAACAAGGAGAGATTCAACCTGGAAATAAGGAGAAACTTTCTGACCGTGAGAACAATCAACCCATGGAACAGAAGTTGCCCTTGGAAGTTGTGGGAGCTTCATCACTGGAAGCTTGTAAGAAGAGACTGGACTGGCATGTGTCATATATGGTGTAGGCAGGATCTCCTGCTTGAGGGGGGGTGGACTAAATGACCTACACAAAGTCCCTTCCAACTCTGTTAATCTCCTGACCAGTGTTTTTGCGACATTGAAAATCTGTGTCATCGAACGGTGACAAAGCTCAAACACAGGCAAGGCAGCTGGGCAGATTGGAGGAACACCCTCCCCCACAAAGTCCTGGCTTCTTATCTGGACTGTCTTCTCTGCCTACCTTTACCTCGGTAACCGACAACTCCACCCTGCACTTCTAAAGAACCTGGGAAGGAACATGTTCCAAATGCAGAAAAGTCTTTGCAGCCTCCGTTATAACGTCTGTCTGGTTTTATCCCTGCTGCTTAATGTTGTAACCTATCTCAGCCACTTGTGAAACAAGAAGTTAGACTGTGGCAGGTCTGCTTCCCCTTTCTGCAGGTGACTTCCCTTTGAATTAGCCAAGCTTGACTTTTCACAATTGTGAATCGAAGAGACGTTCGGTTAATCAAGCCAAAACGGAACTGATACGTACATTGGCTGTCCTTAATACAGCACAGGAAGTCATCATGCTCACCCATACATTTTATGTGATGCTCCACTAACCATTCGTGGATGACACAGATGTGTGATGTCATCCTTAGCTTGCCATTGGCCAGCCACAAGGACAGCTGCTGCCCTTTTTTTGTTGTTGTTGTTCTGCATCAAAAGTGGTGTTCTCCAACTTCCGCAATGCTTTATTTTGTTGAAGGCAGGGTCTCCACCCAGTTGGCTGGTGGACTCCATTGCAGCCACATTCCCCTCCATTCTGGTTAGTGGATAGATGTCTTGATGGCCATTTCATGTAAGGTTTTTGGGCTGCTCTTATAGAAAGCCTGATTATGTTTTGCTTTGCAAGCAATGTCTCCAGTCTCCACACTTGCAATTCTGCATAATTTGTGGGGTATTTTGGAGGGCAGCCAGTTGGGTTCCCTTGCAAGAAGTTTAGCAGATTAATAGAGTTGGAAGGGACCTTGTAGATCTTCTAGTCCAACCCCCCACCCAAGCAGGAGACCCGAAACCATTTCTAACAGATGGCTGTCCAGTTTCTTATTGAAAGCTTCCAGTGATGAAGCTCCCACAACTTCTGAAGAAAACTTCTGTTCCATTGGTTGATTGGTCTCATTGTCAGAAATTTTTTCCTTATTTCTAGGTTAACCAGTTTGAGGTATCAGGGAGCTGGGACCAGCGTCCTATCCATTTTGGTTACTAGCCCAAGTGACAGGAAATAATAGCAAAACTGTCTACCAGTCTTCTATAAGACTGGAAGACTTCTGTCCAAAAAAAACCACAATCCAGTTGATAAGTTGATGGGTTGGAGGGCAGCCAAGAGTTTTATCCCTCTTCTGTCTCACCAGTCTGTCAGCTTGGTATTTGGTGGAAAAAATTGATAGTCTTATAGGAAGCTGGTAGATAGCATTCTTCTTGTCCCTTGTAATCTAGACGATGGGTAGACCTGCTTTCAGAAATAGCCCAAGCAACTTCCACACTAGAGACTGATCACTTGAACAACTTCCAACTATTTAAGGTCTCTATCCCAGCATCCACCATTATCCAAACATGCCCATCTACACTTGACCAAGTCCATCTAGACAAGCAGGTCTTCGGCTGCTAATCAGCGCTGGAGAAGGCAATATCTACCTTATCTCTCTCTCCTCACAAAAACTCTATTATGCTTAATTGCCAAGGTAGAACAGAAGGCTATAGTAAACGTTTAGATTATTTTGCATGATGGAAAGAAAGAAGCAGTTGGAAATGTCTCCATTCCACATAATAAACTTGGAGTGAGCACTCTACACCTCGTGAACTTGACTGCTAGGACAATGAAAAGATTTCCCTTTTTCCATAAAACCTTGTTAGTTTGCAACAATCGTCCTAAAATGCAGTGATGACCATTAATGTGTAAGCCAGCTTCAACCCGTTGCTCCAAGTCCTGGTTTGTTTAAATGTATTTTATTATATTTTGTTTATTAAAAAGAGCCAGGTTATGTTTCATAAATTCACCAAAGAAAGGGAAAACAAGTATGCGATGGTGGCGAGTTTTTATATCTGGAGAAGAAATAAACATAGTAGACCACTAGATCAGGGGTCCCCAACCACCGGGCCGCGGACCGGTACCGGTCCGTGGATCACTTTGCACTGGGCCGCAAAGAAAATAAAAATAAAAAATAAAATAAAAATGGCGGCTTTCTTCGCCTTCGGTGAATGCTGCTGGGATCAGGGATCAAGGACACAAATGAAAGAAGGGGGGAGAGGGAGGAAGCAACCAAAGCCTGTCCTGCTCTCCGGCTCAGTGGCTTCGGTTTCCTCCCGCCTCGTTCCTCAGTCGCTCTCTCGCTCCTCCACCAGCCCAGGAAGAAACTGCTTCAAAGAAGCCGGCAGGGTGGCTTTTCCTGTCGGCGCAGCTCTTCCGAAGCGCCCGTTCACCCCCACCCCATTCGCCTCTTTTTCTCAGCCGAAGCTGCTCCAAAACAACCAGAAACAAAGGCAGGCAGGCAGGCAGGCAGGCAGAACGGAGCACTGGATTGAACCGCGGGCAGCGGGGTGGGGGTGAACGGGCGCTTCGGAGGAGCTGCGCTGACAGGAAAAGCCACCCTGCCGGCTTCTTTGAAGCAGTTTCTTCCTGGGCTAGTGGAGGAGTGAGAGAGCGACTGAGAGAGGAACGAGGCAGACACCTGAGGGAT